CTTTCTGTGCAGACCTTGATGGTCGCACAGCCCTGCGCTGACTCCGGTCCCGCTGGAATGTGGCGGATCTGAGAGGCTCTCAAAGCTGAGAAAGTGAGTCAAAAGGAGATGCCCATTGTCCGGCGTGGCTGAAAGAAAATGATCACTTTAAAATTCATAACTCCCAGGTGCCTGCCATCTATTCATGGGAAAAACCCCTCTGAACTTCTCTTCATTAAAGGGAAAGAGAGGGGAGGCTTGCTAAAAGGAGAGAAAAGGAAGTAGTTGGTGGGAATGTGCAGGGGATTTTCAGGCTAAACAAATGAGGAATTTGGAATTTTTCGCTTGTATTCGAAGGACTGTGCAGGGAAGGGGGAGCTCTTATTGTACAAAAAGGAGGAGAAAGAGGAGGAGGAGGAGGAGGAGGAGGAGGAGGTCGGGGAGTCTTTCCTAGAGGACTGCAACCACCAGTTAAAAAATAAAAAACAAACCCACAAAATTTTGAAATTGTCCCCAGGAGGACTTAGGGATCACCTGGTCATTTGACTTTTCTTACCTGGAGCTGAGAAAATGTCCTCTCCCAATTTTGGACATGTTTAGTTAGCTTCCATTCCCATTCTAGCGGGATACAATTTGGACGGGAGTTTGGGGAAGCTCGAGACTCCAGGAAGTTCCTTCATATGGGACAAGACACCTGCTGCGCACCGTGAAGCTTGAATCTGTCAGGCCCTTCAGTCATTGAGTGCTGTCCTTCGGTGCTGCTCCTGGTTCACGGTGAACCTCTATCCACAGAGTGGAACGACTCCACAGTGTCTTCAACGCGGTGGCCTTTCAGCAGCAGATTGCCAGGCCTATCTTCCGCAGCACCTCTGGGCGGGTTGAAACTGCCACTTGGGTTAGTGGTCCAGTGTTTAGCCACGTGGATCACGCGGGAGCTCCTGGTGTTCCTTAGGAGAACTTTATTCAGCTGGATCACCTGCTCCAACCTATCTGTGACGTCCGTACATTGTTATCGCTATGCATTGAACAACAGAAGAACTATGAAGAAATAGGAAAGGGGGAGAAGGAGGAAGAGTACGAGGAGGAGGAGGAGGAGGAGGAGGGAAGGTCTGTGTTCAAGTAGTTTAAGATCTGACTGAACCTGAGGACATCAGAGCTGTGGAAATCACAGACTGGTGGACCAATTGCTGTTGATCGTTGGTCATTGCAGGAAGCTGATGTTGTATCAGAGATGCACAGAGGATTTATGGATTAATGGATTGAGAACCCAACAAAAGTACAAATAAAGAGAACTTTGTTCTCTCTTGATAATCTTTTATCTTACAGCTGGTGACCCTTAAAACCCAAAGAGGTTAAGTGACATGCTCAAAGTCCCACAGAGTAGGTTAAAGTAACTGGGTGTTGACCTTGATTCACCGATACTTCTTATTCTCTTGTTCTTGCTCCTTTAATAGCATGAAACTTAAAACTATTCTTAGTAATTTTCCAAAAGTAAAATATAGATTCGAATTGTGGACCAAAATGGTTTAATGGTAACTTTGAGATAAACTCTGTTTATAGATACTTCCTAGACATAAGCAAATAACTCAGGAGATTAGTATACTGGGCTTGAAGGCTTAGGCCTACAGTCTCGTGGGACAACTTGGTCAATTGACATAAAGCTTATGTTCTACATCCTAGTTTGTTGTATTGTGTCTGAGATCCTAAAAGCTGAGATACACCTATTGGTCTTACTTGTCTAGAGCAAAAGACAAAGAAAGAAACTAAACTACTATAGCAGTGTTTCTCAACCTTC